AACAAACAAAATTTACATTCTAACCAACGCAATATAATACCCAACAGGCTGGAACTATGGGTATCAGAGAAATGTGAAACTATTAGATTCAGSAAAACATACTCATGATCTATTCCTTACTGGAAATTATAGGAGCAAGTGTTGCGAATTATATCACTTAAAACTAGCAATATGAAATGTGTGTACAMTATTTGATGTTTCTTGATTCGCTCAAAGTTCTATGTTTGGGAAAGGGAAAGGCTGCGAAATCAGCAAATCATATTTATTGCTCTGATACTATAACATGTGATTTTGGTTTATTCAATTCCGTTCTGGTAATGATTTCAAAGCGTCACCATGCTCTGGTATCCTCATTTTTGAAAATATCGATAAAATAATGGAAACCGTAAGGTGCGAGTGGAATAGAGCTTGTGAGGGAGATTACTCAAGAGCTGAATTCATTGCACGAAAACCCTTTCAGAACTCTTTAAGCAAAGCTCGATATAAAAAGAATGGCCCGTGGTAGGCCACCGCAAGGCTGGCTTGATGTCAAAATAGCTTGATGATGATGATGAAAGGGCCATACACCAATGGGCGATATTGGCTAATCTAGTGCTAAGCACCGGAATGATGGATATGGTACTCTTTACAAGGTGGTACAAAATTTCGCTATGGAAACCCCAGCTCAACGTTAATAATTAAGAACATTCCAAGTACCTGGGCGTAATTTTGGATAGCAAACTGATATGGAAACTCAATGTTGAGTGGAGAGTCAAAACGCGAAGTAGAGCTCTATATACATCTGGCCTTATGCATTGGTGTTACACTGCAGAAATTTCCGAAAGGCCTGACACGCGGACTTACACCGAGATGGTACGCCTTAAGGATCTGCAGAATCGCCTAGATCATGTGTAAGAGTCGCGAAGAAAAACTAGTATAATCTTTATTCACGTGGTCTCTAAAGGATTGCAGGACGGTTGTTGTCTTAATGACTGGTCAAAGCCTATTGGCATGACATGTGAATCGAATGAACTAAAGTACAGGAAAATAGGCATAAGAGACCTATTGGCATTACATGAGATCCGGGTGAGCCCACGAAATGACGATACAAGCAGGATGTGAGGGGAAGTAAGCATGTGAGAGACACTTGTGTTCCAGTCTAAAACTTGTCTTAAATATCTAACAGGTTGGCAGTTCAGGGGACTAGATTAAAATTAGATGGCAAGTGGCTCTTAAAGTTCAAAAATAGCATTGACGTTCAGTATGACGAATACTTCATCTGAAATTAAACTAAGCTTATATATGTCATTACTAATGACTAGTAGGCTTATAGATGACGTGACAGCCCGTCAGTATAACTTAACTTATCTTTTAGGGTATGACGAGCCAAATAGTCAGAAAATAGATAATCTCTCCAACATCACTTTTGCTTTGTGAAACCGTCATATCGCTTATGTAGCTCATCGCAGTCTACCACAAAAAAGTTAGTGTCTCTCGGGTAGATAGTGTTACTTTTACTACTATTTGAGTAGAGARGAAAGAAACAAAGACAAAAAGTTTGGTCTAAAGCACTATTTCAGAAAGAAACTTCGGGAATAATCCGGAAGCTGTCAGGAGGTTGAAAGAGAAGACTATAAAACATCTTATATGGGAACTCTGTAAAGGAAAAGAACTTCATCAGAAGTACGGGATGGTTCTGAAAGAACACAATAGAGTGAGGAGCTTTTAGTCCCAGTGGTTTCACCTACCTACCTACCCTACGGTAATAGGCTTTTTAGTCGTCCATTCCGATTACGAAGACCCAATTTTAATTTCAGTAATTTTAGAACAATTGCACTTTTTAAAAAAAGACATGGAAACCCAGTATACATATAAGCATGTATATATATAAACTCGAATGAATCCATATTCAAATAAAATGCTGAGTCTTGAATGGCAACAAAATTGCTAAATAATATTGTTCATTGGGCAACTAACGACGAAGGTGGGATAAATAAATAACTACATACATATATATAACTATATATTGTATATTCAGGGATGGATTTAATGTACTAGTTTGGTATTATCAGGAATTCTTAACCATAAGCAGCAACAACAAAAACACTTACCAGCTATAAATTAAAAATATTACATTGAAATAATGATTTACTTCCCAACGCTGAAGTTGCTGGTAATTTCGAGCATAGCGGGTGGATGCCTGCGACAGACTGCGTTGCTCTGACAATTTTGCTTCAGCTATGAGAATAAATTTGCTTTTTACACTTTTAGCTGGATAATTAAGGCGCATATATTTAAGCAACTCCAAATACCTTGTTACGTATTATATAATGGGCGCCAATGCGTGAATAATTTTATTTGTACACAAGTGTATGCATGTATGTGTGCGTATAGAAAGGAGTCTGATTCCATCCTTAGACAGAGTTTGCTTTGGTTGATTGCCTTTGTTTTCTTTTGCCTCTCATGCTTATACTTTTGTGCTTTTGCATGGCTTTGTAAAATTAGCGAAATTTCATAATCTGAACGTTTATGTTATTTTTGTATTAATTGGATTTTTCTTACTTTTTTGTTCTATCTATGCAATTATGCGGTTTAAAATGTGTGGAAGGTACTGATATACATGTATATGTATACATAACACATTTATAGGGTATAAATATGAATATTATACTATATTTGTGATCAGTGGCGTATCCACGGCGGTGATTTTGGGGCTCAAACAATTTTAATTTAAATTCAGAAAAATGCACGAAGTAACACCAATATTAAAAATATGCTGGCAGGAAAATTTAATCTGTAGAAAACACTTCAAGAAAGARATTTTGCATACGCCACTGATTGTCATCTGAACAACTTTACCGAAGAGACCCTTGGTCTAAAACCGATTTCGAGCCAGCGGTTATGATTCTTAATCAATTTCGCCTTAAAAATCACTGGCCCCGAACTGGTTTTAGGCCCCTACTCTATTAGACAAAGTTGTATAGAATGTTCCGTAGAATATTTAAACATATTTGATTTCTGGCTCCCTGAAAACCGATTAGCTCTACTTTACAGGTTACGTCTCGACACAAAAATACCTTAAATAGAATTAAAAGCAAATTTTTGTTCCCGCAAAAGTTATTTTGTTAAAATTGAAGTCTTCAGGCTTTAAATTCCATCTTTTTGTATTCAGAATGTTAACATTAAAACCTACTTAAGACACTAATGGGAAACTGTGGCTATAAATTATTGCTTACCTACAATAACAACTGAAAATTGAAGGCATGAAGGTATTGACTTCATTCAAAGATAAACATTGGATTTTCAAAAAAATTGCGTTCTTTGCAGAATATTCCAAAATCGTCATGTTCTATCACAAATTTTTGAAGTTCATGAGTATACTACAGAAACTATTCGGCATAAACGTCAATAAATCAGACTACATTCCCCCAATGGTTGATTAGATAGGATCGTTTAGGGGAGAATTCAATTTACAATCTACAGACTTACTGCTTTTATAACAGGCCATTGGTCATTTGCTTCCAAAATGGGTAAGCCCTTCAACAACATCTGCCGATGTTGCGAACTAGTAGATAATAAGGAAACAATTTTCCACTTTCTCTGTGAATGCTCAACTCTATCGCAGATCCGACGCAGAACACTTGGAATCCATTAAGCAYCAAACCTTGAATGGATTTCTACTAAAAGCATATCAGACATAAGTAGCTTCATCGAAACCTCAAAATGGTTTGAAAGAGAAGATGAAACGTGATAGCAATAACAGGTCTATGACTAGTGCACTAAAATAGCACGGCTAGTACTAATTGAGCCCGAAATAAAACAGKGTTGAACTCCTGCTTACCTACCTACTCGGAAGAAAAACGTACCGAAAAATTGTACGCRTATCAGCATGATCCGCATAATCCCCAACTAGTCCCACACTTTTTGAGATATCGATCTAAGATTTTGTACACGACTTTTATCTCCAAAAAACTTCTTATTTGTCGGAACCGAAATCGAACCTCTATAGCATATAGGAGCTATATAAACTGATCTATAAAAAACAATTTCTTGCATGAAAAACTTTTTTATTTGAAAATTATCTGTTCCAAATTTGCCATTGATTACAAACTTCGAATATATTGTTTAGAGCRGAAGATCTGAAGATGTCCAAAAAATATTTCTTATACAACTTTTTCACAAATATCGTCTCTATTTGAGTTTCAACTGCGTTTTGTATATTAAAAAAAAATTGGCCTTGATTTTATAATATGAGTCTGACGCTACTGGGAAGCTTTTGTGCATTATTATGTTTGATTTCACACAAAATTTACGAAATTATTTAGGATGAATATATTTGTTTTTCTTAGCACAGACGATCSCGAGCTTCAGTTATTTCAGTAGATCTACAAAACGAACACCTCATAAAATTGGATCTCAACAACCTTCACATTTTTTCTACTAAATAATAAATCTCCCCGCTACTCCGCTACATTAMTCAGCACATCAACCGACTTACTTACATATATGCTTTTAGCATTAGTTTGCTTCTAAGAAAACTTTTAAATTTTTTACTATTCTCTTTGCTTTAGCTTAGTGAATGCGCTCTTCCTGCCACATAGTTTTACAACAGTTATATTTTATTTTTCAGGAAATATTTACGAGCGTTTTACGATGTTAAAAAATTGATGGCGGGCGCTCATGCTTGAATTTCCAACAGAAAAAAAACGCCATAAAATCAGAGAAATTTTTTGGAAATGTTTGTGTGCATGTGCGTGCAAAACAAAATATGTTTTATACAATTCACCAAGCAACGCATTACCTATTTTATTATAATACACTTTTGTACTGTGCCAGTCCCATAAAAGAACACAAAACGAAAAATCTGTGTTTATACAAATATTTACACAAATTAAATTCGCAAATATTGACACACACTAAAAGTTCAATATATTTTTGTAAATACAAAAAAACGGGCGTACAAAAAGTCAGTCAGCTGTCACTTTCAGGCAGGTGAATTTAAATTATCCCCAAATACATACTAGAACACACACGGCGTGCGCCACCTTGACTTACACGAACGCGAAATTGCTACTAAATAAATATTTGTCGCTACAACGGAATAAAACGGAACTCCACCGAACCTATGCGTACACACTCGCGCTCGATTAAGAAGCGATTAAGCACTTATCGCCGTTTTTTGTTTACTATATACGCCAAGAATACACTGTTTTCCCCCATTCAAGCGAGGCAASAGCAGTGACGTTGAAAAGACCGAAWGTCAATGCGCACGACAGCACACAGCGGTTGAATGGCGCGCCGATATAACAGCACCAACAACAATGAGAACCAGCTGGTGCTTTGCATTCAACGAAACAGACCCACTGGCGTGCGTTGGAGTGCAGTAAAACCGTTAGATAAAGTGACGAACTTGAATTTGTTGCCATATATTGCAGACAACGAGTGGCAACGAAAAGTCAGCTTGGCATTCGTTTTTTACAATTGGAGTTAGTTTCGCGGCATTTTTTCGTGATTTCATTGTTGTACCTCAATGTTTTTGTTATACGAATACACTTTAGCGTGTTTTGTTTTTTGTTTTTGTTGTACCATCTGCGTTGTACTTGAACGCAAGAGCAACTGCTTCGGCCAACGCACGATGTAGCACTCGAATGACAGGCCAACACACAAGTGTTGAATGATGAAGCTAAAAAGCGTCAACACGCCGTTACCAACAACTTCGATGTGTTGCTTAGTGAGCGTAGTTGGCTAATGTTGCGTCAACATGTTGCTTGGCGGCACGTGCTGCTGTATGGCTAATAGAAGCAAAAATCTATATGCTTGTATGTGTGCGGCGTGTTTGTATGCACATACTTACTTAAYAGTATGGTATGGTGAAGGTGCGCTTGGGGTGCAACAAGTTGTTAAATGCGCGTAAGTTGTAGTAAACAACGGAAGTTCCCAGGGTAGCAGTTGCTCTCACATACAAATTAAGTTACACACACAGTAACTTACACGTATTAGCATGTGTGTGTGTTCAACTGGTGGACCTGTTGTCCGCGCATTAAATATCGTCGCTGAAATAAGTGCATTAAAACAACCGCGGTGCAAAATAAAAAAAAAGTAAGTGATAAATTAAAAAGAGACTCCAGCTTTTAGCTGGAAAACTCTTGTACTTTAACCTTCATATAATGCACGCTGTGTATAAGGTGTGTGAAAAGCTGGGTGTATGTGTAGGTAAATTTTCATCACTGGTGTGTTTAGAAATATATTAAAAATTAATAAATCTGCAATTCTAAATAATTTTCGACCTGGTTATGCGTATATATAAGATTTTATGGAGTTTACCACGTTTCTGTTAAATGATAAAACTTTGGGGAATATTTATACATATCTTAAGAATACACAGACAAATTTTTGAAGGAAATAAATGAAGTATCCGAGTTTTATGCGGTGTTTACAACAGTGTGAAAGTCGTTATTTATTTTCGCTGTTTGGTCCCAATTGGAGATTCCCAGTGAAGCCAAGTCCTTCTCCATCTGATCTTTCAAACGAAATGGAAGTCTTCCTCTTTTCTGCTTCACTTGGCAGGTACGGCGTTGTATACTGTCAGAGCTGGAATATTTTTATCCATTCGCGCGACATGACCTAGTCAGTCGGATTTGGGGTTAAATCTGTAGAAATCGGATCTACTTGTGTTCGCAAGAAAATACAAAATCCATCCATGGAGATTCCCTTCGTTCAATGGGATACAACACTCACTCAAACATCCTACTGCTGTGAAAGGACAATGTGGAAAAAGAGTGAGAGACGCTACCAAATTCTTCTCCCTTATGTATTGGTCCTTCATAGCTATTGTAAGATCAATTCTGCTTTGYGGTGCAGTATTATGGTGGGCATGCTTACGAAATCCTACCGACGGGTAGCCAATGGGAAGCATTCAGAGGTTCAATGCGCTGTGCATAACGGCAGCTTTAAGAACTACTTCAACGGCGGCTCTTAAAGTAGTGCTAAACTTTCCAGCTATAGACCTCTTCGCTGAAAACCACGCCGGTCCGCCTAGTCTAATAAACTAATCTAACCTAACCTATGGAGRAGGGTGAGGTGGAAACATCCAGGCAATTTCTTCGCCATTGTCAAGCCTTGGCAAGACATATCGGCATTACCTTCTAGGAGACATACTAAAAACTCAGATTAGCCGTCTCGAATTTATGATGGGCTGAAAGTGCTTTGTCGATTTGTTAGGGTCTCGTGATCTATTATTTAATAGTTTTAGGTACTACWACGAACCAGCGTTCTAAGCTATTCAAGTGAGATCCTTGTTAAGGTCGACTTCATAATCTTACCTAGTCTAACGTAAGGGAAAGGCCGAGTGAAATGGAAATAAATTAAAGACACGACTGCTGATTAAATGTGGATACTATTTTTAGAGAAGAACATCCACTAGGAACCAATGATGCTATTATTTGCATAGCACTCATAAATATATTCACTAAATATATAAACAATTGTGCTCATTCAATTGAAATTCTAAACAGAATTTAGTTCCATTTTTCCAACAATATGCTTTGCTTAACAAGTTATCAAATAATATTCAAATTAACCCAATTAGAAAATTTGTTTACTAAGTATATGAAATAACAGCGTCCTATCGCCTTTCCTATTTCAATAGAATTCTGGAGGTAAATACCAGGAAATACCGTCAACTAAATTTACAGTCCACTAACCAGACAGACCAAACCAGTAGTCAGTGTCGCAGTAGTAGTCACATAAACAACCAACCTGCTATGCTCAGTAAAATTTGATTTTCTCGAATTTTGATATTTTTAAATGATTTGTACCCTCGTCTATCAATACCAAACTCGCATACCAAACTGCCTTTGTATGTATATGCAAATTGACGACTGCTAAGGTGAGTGCGATTATGTATATATGTAGCGAAAATAAGCTTCTGTGATTATAGCGGGGGGCTTGGGTGGTGTTGGCGGCGTGCTGGTGTACTATTCCAGGTACGTTACCGTTTAAAACCCTTACACTTGAACGCGTTTGCTGCGTAAATTAATGCCTTTTCTACTCTAATCACTTGTTTACCTGTCATGACAACAAAAGGCGCTACAATACAATACATAGGTACATAGCTGTATAACCTTAAGCTTGGCGTTACACTTTCATTGCCAAGCATCTTCACCTTCGTATTGGCGCCAGTTACACCTCGATGGTTTTCTATTCAAATTAGTGGCGGCGAACAAAGCTTTATTTATTTGYTTATTTTTCTTTTTGTTTTTATAACTCTATTTACGCATATGACATTATTTTTGTGCGTATATTTTGCGTCATTTGCTCTCTTTTATAGGTAGTTCAAAAGTAATTTTACATGAAGAGTGCAAAGCGTCATAAAATCTTCTTATTTTATTTTATTAAATGATTTCTTTATAATGTCATTAAATAATTTCTGTATTTAAATTTTTATCAATCTCTGTTAGTTCTTATAAATACCTGTGCGTATACGTAACTTTAATGCAATTGCCGGAGCGAAATTAAATAAAACTGGTTTTATGCCACAAAGTTTGTGACACTTAAAATGAAATGTCTCAGATCCTTTAAGGTATATATATAACATATATTATAAGCGTGACGAGGTGAGTTGTTTCAGTCRTACACGTCTGTTTGTCTGTCCCGAACAAAATCAAGTTCTGGTATAAAAACCTGTTTTATTTGACAATGTATCTTCAAGAAATTTTACATGAGTTGTTGACCGACTAATTGCTTAGATCGGAGCACTATAGCATTTAGTTTTCATTCCAATCGATCGTTCAAAATAAAAGTACTGATATTATTTATAAGAAGGGTATTATAACTTCTGTATACTAGAGTTGAGAATGCCTTGCAACTAAATGAATTATTTTGCTTTCAGAGTCCAAATAATATTTGAAATTATGCTAAATTACAGGMGAACAATTTTTATCATTAGAAAGTGGGAATATTGGCATTTTTGGCAATTTGTAGGTAAAACAAACAAATATTGCAAACATTTTTACGACAATTGAGTTATTTAAGAAAAATAAACTGAAATATTTTTGGAAAAAGATTGAATTATTTGATTAAAAAACGTGTATGGTTATTAGGCCTGCATAGTCATAGTTTTGTYATAGATATTGCTCTATGTGGCGGGACTAAGTGTCAACCGAAACTCCAATACATTGAAGGATTTGTTGCGGAAACTAACGCATGCACATAGCGTACCGTGTAAGAAAGAGATAAATGATCACACGTACACAGGCTCGTGATTTCGGCGATATTTGGTTTTACCACTTCCCACACATAGCATCAATCAATGGATTTCTTGAGAGAAGRCTTCGGCGACCGGATAATTTCACGTTTTGGGGCGGTCGATTGACCACCAATATCGTTTGACATTACATCGTTAAAATTTTTCCTGTGGTCTTAAGTCCAAAATCAATGCGGTTAATCCCGCTTCGATTCAGGTCTTGGAGCAAAACATCACGCGTGTCATACGCCAGTTACCAGTCGTTAAATTTGAAGTTTCTGTAYTTTTTCCTTAAAAAMTAGAGAACCTCAAAATGGATGACCCTTTAATATCATATTATCTTAAAGAAATATAAATTAAAACTTTGTCATCTCCATATTGAAAACAGTAATATTTTGCCTTCTCTACAAAACTTTCAAAACATGAAACTTATCAATATGAAATTAAAAATTTCAAAGGAATAAATAAAAAAATAYACATTACTATAGAATAAAATTAGCAGTGCTTACAGAAGCGACTTCATGTGATGTATGTATAGGCACATTTTGTTTATTTTTGGAGATAAAATTGGAGTTTATGTATGTAGACAATTCGGTGATCTTTTTAATTTATACTAAAAAGTATATGCATCATTTCTTAAACATTTTTGGAGTATATCAACAGCAGATCTCCAATTTTAATTTTTTTTTTTTAATCTTCTAAACTTTCTCGGTTATATCGAATATGACGTCTGAAATGCAAACATAACCTAAACTTTTTAAAATGTAGCTCGTAATTGGACATAACCTCAATTGTAGGAAAAGTTAATAAATAGGGAAATAAGGGAAAATACAATATTGCCTTATTTTTGACTTACAAAAACCAATTCGCGTTGACGTGTGACCGTTGCTTTACAAATTTAAATGGACTTTATTTAAACTATTCAGCAAAACCGCGTACGTTACTATTTATTTAGTTTTTTTATACGGAAAATACTTCACTTAATTTTAAACGAATAAACTTCATGAGATCCCGCGTGGGTTTTCTATTTTCACTTTATGCAAATTCGCCGTATGCGTACATACTGTACGTATGTATGTATATTCGTCAAATAACGGAACTGTCAAAAGGAATTACAACAGAAGCAGGGCTGCACACGTTGAGGAAAATATTTAGGATTGTAGCTGTTGATAAGGCAGTTCAAGCAAATTAAACTATTTTGAAAGAGTCGTCGATAACAAAGTGTTGAATTAATTTAATTTAAAAAAAATTAGTTTGTTATATTCTTTTATTTAATTCCATTTCATTTTATTTTCTATATAAACACAAATATACTAATATAACGGCTTAGCTTTTATCCGCACTGCATTAACGACTGCGTTTTAATTCCCTTTCCTACTCAGCATGCAGCAACTCTATCATTTTCCAGCATATTTTGACAGTTTCCGTTCTTCGCRTCAATTAATTTAGTCGACTGTCAAATGTGGCTGCCTTACAAGCATCAAAATTCGTGTTAAATTCAGCATCAAATGCAAGGTTTTGCTAATAAAGCTACTCAGTAGTTATTAATCTGTGGTTGAAAGTAAAATTCAATGTTTGCATATATGTTTTTATGCAAAAATATAAAAATATCGCAAATGAGAATAATATGCATTTGTGAATGCATTCGGTGCACAAACAAAATTCATTGACAAAGTGAAAATTCAAAAGCACGATGTCATTTCACGACAAACATGCAGGTATTGCAGCATGCACAAACATGCAAAATGYTAAAGTGATAATGTCGTTTACGGGCTTTTTAAACGTAGCCAGTTACTTACAACATGCACAAACATGCAAATTGGAGAAGAAGACAAAGCGACAATGTTGTGCACGGGCTCTCCTAATGTTGAATGAATATTAAAGTTAATATTTGTGTTTTTAKTAAAAACTAAATGATAATCCAAATTTGCTGCATTCAGCATATACTATAAAATTCAAAATTAAATGTGATTTGCTTAATGCTATGAAAAAATTGTGATATGTGAAAAATATRTGAATAATAAAAAATTGTGCAGTATCGTAATTTATATTGATAAAAAGAGCGTAATAATGTAATAAAAAAATGCAAATTCGAAGTCGAAATGAAAAATAAAATCAAAAGGATAAAAAATGTTGCAMTTTCTTCGTATACATACGTACATACTATATCAGAAAAAAAGTAAATAATAGTTAAAAAGTGCACTGCCGTATTTATATGGAAAAAAGAAAGAAATAAATAAATAAAATAGAAGTTGAAATTAAAAGTAAAATCAAAAGTAATCAAAAATAGTGCAGTGTCGTAATTAAGATGAAAAAAAGGGTAATAAAGAAATAAAATAGTGCAGTTTCTTCGTATAAATCAAAAAAGTTGTGAGTAATAAAATRAAAAATAGTGCCGCAATCTAAAAGAAAATGAAAGAAAAAAGTAATAATGTAAGAAAATAGAAACGTGTTCTAAAATGTGTAAAAGGTTAAGTGTTTAATTCCAAGTAAACAATAAAATAATATGCTCCAAAATATATTGAAACAAATTACTCAATCAAGCGGGTGAGTTTGTTTTCAACCTTTTTAACATCTTTTTATTTTAGCATATACATATTTATGAGTACATATCTCAAACGAAACATGAATTAAAATATTAACAGTTTATATTTATCTAGTGCCATGCCTGAATATTTATTTATATGAATATTATATACATTAAGCCATATTCCGAAATGCAGAGTTTGTTATGAAGTTAATAAGGGATAATCCTACTCTCCCTCGTTTTTTCCATAAAAATAGGGGTTTTAAGAATTTAATAGACTTGTATACTGTAACAAAATGCCGTTATTATTGGTTCGTTATTTTTTCAACCGTTTTACYTATTCCATTAAATCGATCGAAGCAGTATTATGGCTCTAAAACTTTTCTTTCTGTCTTTTAGTCACACTCAAACTTTTAATTTTTATAATAGTGCTTTCCAAACTGTTCTCATTATATTGTTGTTGAAATGGCTAGCAAGTAAAATATTTCCACAGTAAGCTTTAATAAACTTTTGAAAATTTTTTCTATTATTTACTACTATATGCACAATAACAATAATAATATATATACGCAGCGAAAATAAGCGAATAAAAGCTCTCAAACAGCTGTTTCGCAGAAAATTTCTCATCAAGTGAGCGCTCAAGTGGGCGAGTGTGTTGTGTTCTTAGCAAATTTTACGCAATCTACATTTATACGAAAATTATTAATATTATATGGAATATTAATTGTAATTCTAAGTGTACTTGTTTACAAGATAGTATTTGACCTTGTTTTTGGTTGAAAGGAAAATCAAGAATTTTTGAAATCTTTTGTTTTGCTTCCAAGAGAAAAAGTTTGTTTAAATTACATTTGTGACTTGTTGTTGTTGTAGTTAATATTATAATAATATTATTATTAGAAGTTTCGTTATGGCAATAATAAATCGTCATCAGCAGTGTTAGGCCGCATAACCGGCAAATACTCGTACTGGTAGCTGAATTTATCGCTAAGAAAATTGTATACTAAATAAAAACAACAACAGCAGTGATAAGTGGAAAACCAAACATCGTAATCAGTAAGTGAAATCTTGAATCTTTTCCGCAATTATTATGTATGCCTAATTTTAGATTTTTTAGTATTTAAGAAAAATATGTAAACTTCAAATGTGTGTAATGTATATGAGTGTATGTGCATATTAATGATACAATGTAATTGCAAAGGCAGGTTGTAATCACATGTCTCTCCAATTGCTTATTTATTACTGCTAAATATTGCTGACTATTTTTGCCCTAATCAAATTGAAGTGTATGTCCATTAAGTGATAAAGATGTCGAGAGGGTGTTTGACTTTGGATACTAGTGTCAGTTGACTAGACAGGCAGAAAAACAGGCAGCGAACAGCTGGTGTTCATGATGATCGTCAGCTGTTGATTTGCTGGAGCAAATGGAGTGGCAGCGTAGCATTTATTTGCTGCGTGCAATTGTTAGCCAAGGCAACTGTGCACATACGTACATACATGTGAATATATACAACTCAAACTTAGTAGCTTACCTACTTACTTACTTACATATGTGTATGTTATTGGTCACTGTGCCACTTCAAATTGTGGCCTTTGTTTCTAAATATAATTAAGTCAATTTGTTTTTCTTTTAGTATTTATTTACAAATTTATTCTTTACAGCGCGCTAAGCAAGAATTTCCGCATTTTTTTACACTGCTTTATTTTATATATAAACACTAACTATATACGTAATAATTCGCTTTAATCTCGATCACAATTTATTGATTTTMGTTTATCGCTGTGCAGCTACACACCTTTTCACAATTGCTTCACAATTCGCCAAGCGTTTGGCGTTCATTCCTTGGTCCGCGCTCACTTGGTACTTTTACTTATTTAGCTTGCTTCTGTCTTCCATTTAATTTGCTGGTTTTCATCAAAAAATTCTTCCACTTAATATAATGAAAGTTGTATTTATTTCATGTGTTAGTTGTTGGTATGCTATGTGCGCGTGTGCGTTTCCTCTAATTTGTTTCTGTTTTCCGCATCGTTTGAATCATTCAGTACGCAGAAAATAGTCTAGTCAATGCGAATTTATGTATTGCTTTATGTCTGTGCATATGTATSTATGTATGTATATGCGRCGCTTCAATAAATTAGTGAAATAAGATTTACAATATGAACGTGTGGAGAGATTGCTTATTTAAACATACACACCTTCTTATGTATGGAATGTGTGCAATCAAATAATATCATTTCCTTTGCCGAGTTGTTCGAAAAGTTTTTGAAACATTTTTAATGAAATATATATTTGAAATTTTTCAAGAATAGTCCACTTTAATCAACCGCTTTGCTTAAATGTCTGGTATAAAATCCGAAATCACAAAGGATTTGTTTATTTAGAGTCTTGACAATTATAATGGCGGAATCCGAACTCTGGAAAGAGCAAATTCCAATCATTCTAATATGAAATTATTTGAGTCCTCAACAGCATTTTCCGTTTTTTTTTATGTTTTTCTACATAATTCTAAATATATGTTTAATGTGTTATGTGACTTCAAGAAGCATATTTCGCAATAATCAAAACCTAATTACACAAGATTGCTTGCTAATTTGTTGGTCCATCAGGTTATCACACATTTAAAATAAAATATAATTCTTGACGTCACATCCATGGTGTATGGTACATAGTACATAGCTATCTAACAATAGCACGAGACTCGAGTATGACAGATAATGCTGCATACATTTTTTCGTGACTCTTTTCCTAGGCGATTTAATCAATTATTTGCGTGTAGTAAAAATAAATTTCATACATTTCGCAATAGAAAAAAAGTAGTATAATCGCTTCGGGAACCTGGGTTGTTCCCCATAGAATCCGGTACAGGATTGTAATTTAGTAGAGAAGTGCTCAGTTAGTAAGGTAATTTAGATTGAATCGCAGGAAGTTCGAGCACCCATGCCACGTCATGAAGTGGGTGTCCCGGTTGTTCGTCTAATATTGAGTCCAGAAGGGAACGTGTATTTCTAGTTGCAACCTGAGGGTTCGGAATAAATTTAACACCACACTTGTTATCTATAACGCCGAATAAAGTGTCACAATGACCTAACCCAACTTGTCTTCGGATCAGCGCAGTACAATTCCAAGGTTAATGCGTTATTAAGCATGCCAGACACAGTGCACGTGAAAGAAGGATGAACATCTATTTTTGACGGCGTCAATAATATTATCATAATACTGCCGTATTAAAATAAATACACAAACAAACCTACTGCAAATATTAGTCACAATTCGAACCTAAAAGACAAAGAAAGTTGCGGCGGCGGTGTAAATGGTGCAAACATCGAGCACTTTATGATCACGACACATTTGCATCGAATCTTACTTCGGACAACAATAAAGCATGCGGTCAAGTCATGATGGAAATAATTTTACCTGTTTATGGATGTCTGTGTGTATATACAAGTGGATGCAACAAAATACGGATATGAGGGATTTAATAGAATTTTAATGTTTGGATATTTACAGAAGGAATGAACTTTCAGAATTTTTGCTCATTTTTGATATTATTGTGTTTTCATTGAGTCTATTGAGTCTTAAAGTACTAACGAGTATAACTTGAGGGAAAATATTGAATACGAAAAATCTACATTGAGTTAAAATTATATCAGGGATTTAAAAAAAATTTCATTTATCAACGAAGGCACAGAAGAGGAAAAATATTATCACATTTTGTGTCAATGGGCACACATATCCAAAACAATGACAATTTGCTTTTAGTTAGTAAACAAAGAGCTCATTTTCAGTCAATAATAAATAAATTTTGAAAATAGCAATTCATGGCTAGATGAGTAATCAAACTAAATTTTAAGGACTTTGTATAATATTATATATCACAGAACCCATACTAAAAAATGTTTTTCGACCTAGTTTAAGCTCACAATAGCATTATCACTCAATGACTCTAGTTAGTCCTTAGTTCTTCCTCTTTTTTACTGGCTATTGGCGTAGAGGTTTATGCAGTTATAGCCGAGTTATCAACAGGGTATTCTTTCTTTTCACTGTTTTGGCGTTATTAGCAAGTGCAGCCAGGTCCTTCTCCACCTGATCTTTCCAACGATCTTTTCTGTTATACAGAAAATCTTAAAAATGGATCACTAGATCCTCATAGTTCAACGAAGTATGTATTTTCAGCTTTCCACAATTGTATTAAGGTAGTTCTTGTCAATCCCAGCCACTTCGCTAGGTTCGCCAAAGGTGTGCCTACTGAGATATTTCAGTCTCAATCTGGCAAAATCCGGATAATAGAGGAGRAAGTGACAAGATGATTCCACCTTGACCTCCTCCATACAGCTGTGTCAAATATTGTACGACAGAATATTTAGCAGCACCGCGTGTAAACCTATTGGACAGTGTCCAGTCAGAACACTTACAATTGCGACGAAATTATATTTGTTAAGAGCCAGTAGTCCAAAGAACCTTTTACGGTTCACTCTCGGCCTGAAGCATCTCACAGTCGCAAAAGTTCTGGTCGTTTATCAGAGTTTGCTGATCTCGTTTTACAAATAAAGATAGAACGCTAGAACAAAAGAATAAATCGAAAATCAAAGTCGCTTCCAATCGGATGAAAAGGAGAAGAAGTTGCTCTCCCTAACAAGAACTTCGGCTTTGAAGTTTTCGGTGATTCCGCTGTGGTCGGCCACCCATTCAAGTCTAATATGGAAGAAACTTGCAGTTATTTCTAATGAGGTCATGCACTTCTTAACTAGTTTTGTCACAGTCAGCGAGTTCAAAGTCAGCATAACCGCTCGACTTTCAGAGTGAATGCGCACTTCTCTGAAGGAAGTTGCACTTCGGAGCAGTATTTCTACTGCTACCTTATATGCAGCTATTTCCTCACTAAAGAAACTACAGTGGTCTGGTAGCCTCAAATTGGAGCTAATGGAGAGCTTCCGCTAGAAAATTCAACCACCTACTATCTCCCTTAATTGCGATACATTCGTGAAAAGTTCATTGCTCTCCTCTTCAATGGCTTCGCTCTGCTCACGGTCCCTCGTAGGTGTGTGAGCTGAGAAGGAACGGCCAGGCACAGGTTCTGCGATCTAGTGATCTAGATTGTAAGAAATTAAATCGAAGCGGTGGAGAATTTCAATGTGCTCTCAGACTTAGGCAAAGTCTAATGGCAGCTTTCGCATTACTACGTGTAGAATGGCATTTAGTGTCATTGTTGGTGTTGTTCTCAGTGCCCAATAGATGGTGATGAGTACCGCTCTTTGATCACGCTCAGCTGCTTAGCTACTGTGGGTTTTCCGAATGATCTCCACCAGGCAACGACCGCAGAATTATGGGGCTTGGTTGTTAGTATTATTATTTTCTTTAAGGCGTTTTCTAAATTTTTGCTTATCTTGTAGTTTTTATTTAATTTACATATTATTTGGAGAAAAATTATCCAAATTTCAATGTCATGTTCTTGTGTTTTCTGTAAAGAGGTTAATGCTACACACATTGGCCCAGTGCCAAAATATTGCAAACAAAAATGGAAAAAATACAAGTAAATCAAATACATATACATATGAATATATATCGTGTATATGTATGTTTTCATCAAAAATATATGGAAGTCCAAATACATAAATAAATAAAATGTAATTTACAGTTCAAGCGTTCTACTGTGTGCTTTGTGTGGATTTGATTTTTGTTTTTTTTTTGTTTTTTGTGCGGCATTCTCCTTTACGGATCTTGACTGATTTTGCAATAATTGTGTAATTGGTTCTTTGTTTATGCATACTTTTGCTCTTACAAGTTCCGGTAGCAGAGCGGGCATTGTGTAAAATGTATTACATAGACTTTTATAGGCTTACATGCATATGTGAATTTTTTTTTTTTCATATACGCATGTTTATTTGTTCTCAACCATATAAAATAAAAGTATGCGGCATCCATCTCGCATTAACGGTTCTCGCATTGAGCTGGGGACGTTCGCACGGTTTTTTTCCCGCAATTTGTAACTTCCAGCGGCTCAACTAAAAGTTTAAATTATTAATTTTTTTTTTTAGAGAAAGTAAAAAAAAATTTT